CCGATAGCAAGTATTATGTGGGAGAGGCAACTGCTAGCATGTCATCCCTAACTTGGAATTCTATGCACTTATGATTGGAACTATTAGCAAGCATCCGCAACTACTAATGTTCATTAAGGTAAAACCCAACCATAGCATTAAGATATATTGGTCCCCCTTCAATCCCGTATGCATCAATTTCTATGCTAGGTTGAAGCTTCTGTCACTCTTGCCCTCCAATACATAGTCCTATCAACATACAACTAACCCTAGGGTGTGATCCACGCGCACAATCATATGATGGGCACCAAAGGATAGCAACATAACCACAAGCAAATTAAATCAATCATAGCAATTCATCAACCACCGATAGGACAACAAAAATCTACTCAGACATCATAGGATGGCAACACATCATTGGATAATAATATGAAGCATAAAGCACCATGTTCAATTAGAGGGTACAGCGGGTTGCGGGAGAGTGGACCACTGTAGATAGAGGGGGGAAGGTGATGGAGATGTTGGTGAAGATGGCGGAGGTGTTGCTGTAGATCGCAGTGATGATGATGGCCCCCGGTGGCACTCCGGTGCCACCGGAAGCGAGGGGGGGAGAGCCCCCCTCCTTCTTCTTCTTCCTTGACCTCCTCACTAGATGGGAGAAGGGTTTCCCCTCTGGTCCGTGGCCCCCATGGCACGGGAGGGGCGAGAGCCCCTCCGAGATTGGATCGGTCTCTCTGTCTCTCTCTGTTTCTGCGTTCTTAGATTCTTCCCTTTCACTGTTTCTTATATTCCCGGAGATCTATAACTCCGATTGGGCTGAAATTTTGACACAATCTCTATCCAGAAATTAGCATTCTTTCGGCGAAAGAAGGGCACCAACCGCCTTATGGTTGGCCCATGAGGGTCAGGGGCGCGACCAGGGGGCAGGCTCACCCCCTACCTCGTGGCCACCTCGGGCACCATCTCGCGTGGATTCTTCTTCCCAAAAATCATATATATTCCGAAAAAATCTCCGTCAGTTTTTATCCCGTTTGGACTCCGTTTGATATGGATATCCTGGGAAACAAAAAAACATGCAACAAACAAGAACTGGCACTGGGCACTGGATCAATATGTTAGTCCAAAAAATAGTATAAAAAGTTGCCAAAAGTATATGAAAGTTGAATAATATTGGCATGGAGCAATCAAAAATTATAGATACGACGGAGACGTATCACCCACCTGCCTGCCCAAGCTCTTCAAACAATCGCTCTATCATGGCCATTTTCGGTCTGGGGGCTCTATATCCTCGGCCCCTTCCCCCGAGCAATCGGGGGCTTTGAATTCTTGTTTGTTGCTATCGACAAGTTTACAAAGTGGCCGGAAGTTACTACCGTGAGAAAGGTGGCTGCTCAGTCAGCTATCAAGTTCTTGAAAGAGCTGGTTTGTCATTTTGGAGTTCCAGAAAGGATCATTATCGATAACGGCACCCAGTTCACGAGCCGCGCCTTCATGCAATATGTTCATGCCCTTGGATGCAAGATCTCATTTGCCTCTATGGCACACCCCCGGAGCAATGGACAAGCTGAGAGGGCGAATGCTGAAGTGCTACGCGGACTCAAGACGAGAACCTTCGATACACTTCAGAAGCACGACAGACGGTGGATCGAGGAGCTGCCAGTAGTTCTCTAGTCCCTCAGAACGACACCAAACCGAGCTACCGGGCAGACTCGCTTCTCCCTGGTCTACGTGGCAGAAGCAGTTATCCCGACGTAACTCATTTAATGGTCGCCTCGAGTGCTTGCCTACAATGATTAGCGTAGCATCAGCACCGGCATGACGATGCTGTGCTACTCGATGAGAACCGCCTTCGGGCTGCTACGCATGCTGCACGCTATCAGCAAGCCCTGCGTCGCTATCATAGCCGCAGGGTTCATGCCTAGTGTTTTGAGGAAGGTGACCTTGTCCTTAGGCGTGTTCAGTCTGCCAAGGGTACAAACAAGTTGTCACCGAAGTTGGAAGGCTCTTACCAGGTAGTACGAGTCACCAGACCTGGCGCAGTCCGTATGGAGACCGGAGATGGCAGTGAGTTGCAAAAACTCATGGAATATTGAGAATCTTGTGCAAGAGAAAATAAAGAAGCACTATGGGCGGCCCCAACCAAGATTGCATGCATGCATGAGCATTCCAAGACCACTGCATAGTCATTTCATGACCATTTGCATATTCATATAGATAAGATCACATCTTGCATTCATTCTCATCTGCATGAAGCTACAGGTTCCGGCCATGAACTTGGCTTTGACAAGGAGTTGAGAAGATTGCCCGGCACTGCGATCCCCGGCATGCCAAATAGATAAGTTCTACTTCCTGTCCATTAGTGTCCTATAAGCTATAACTTGTGCATAAGAAAACCTCACTACTCTTTGATACTTGGGTGCTCCCATCCTTGAGAAGAAAATTGCTTCGGTCAAGATGGTTGCAATGGCTCTTGGTAAAGAGAACTTGGCGGGGGGCTGGTCCCTTTGTTTGTCACCCGGTAGACGTAGCTCTCCGGCAGATAAAAAGGGTACCGGCAGGATAGCCTTCCAGGGTGTAACGACCCGAGACCGACGCTCCAGGTGCCTTCTATGTATTCCCAGTTTTGCTGTGTGATTTATTTGTTTGCTGCATTCTTCATAACATCATTTTGCATTGCACCATTCCATCATGGCATCGTTTTGTAACCCAACTTAAAACTCACTTAAATAAATTGCATAGATCTTTCAATCTATTTAAAAGAGGGAATTCACATGGTAGTTTCTCTTTATAACGTATCCTCCTAATATTTTAGGGAGCTAATAAATATTTCACTATTTTGGAATCACCCATAAACACACTTGTTGAAACTGTTACAACATTCAAACTTGTCTTGATGGTTCCCACTAGTCCATAAGCCATATGGTTATGATGCCTTGATGTTATTTGCTCCTTGTTATGAGTACTTTGATACCATGCCCTTGGTTACCATGTAACTTGTTGTAGTTTGTCTCTTTCCTGCTCTCAGGTTGCCATCATGCCAAATCTTTCAACCTGTTAACAGTATGTTCCATTTTGCAAGTATCATAGTAATTACTTCATGCATCATATGAACTTGTGCCCATGGACTATCTTGAAGTATATCATATCTACTACATGCCCATGTCTTTTGCATAATTACTAAAGTTTCTATGTCTGATGTTATGTGCCTCCAAAGTTAGCATCATAATGTTATTGTTTTGCATTCCCATATTTCCTCTAAGTCTGTGATTCAACTTATATCATGGTTGCATCTTTCCTCGGTGTTTCCCATGAACCTATTGCTCACATGGTTATGCCATGTTGTGTGTTTTGAGATCCATGATACGTGCTAGCATGCCATGCTTTTTCTTGCCATGTCCTTGTGTTGTAGATTAATTACTTCTTGCTTCCAACATGCCATCATATAAACTCTGCGCACATGTATGCCCTCTTTTTAAGTTGCTTCATGCATTGATCATATTGGTTTAACCATGATGCCTATGAACTTGAACCTTAATGTTATTTGAAGCATGTTGTCTATACTTGAAGTGCATATCAACTTTGTGCCCATATGTTTCATGTAGCATGTTGTTTCCTTGATTGCAAAGTGCTTACTTGCTGTTTTGGGCAGTTTGTGTTTGAGTCTTGTACTGAGTTCATCTTTTGAACCGTTGCTCCGTTTAGACCATGCTCTATATGAAACTTTGTTAGTTTTGCATGTAGTTTCATGTTACCTTGTTGCATCCTTGTTCTGCAGTGTTTGTGATGTTGTTTTGCTTGCATTTGCATCAATGACATGTTTAACTTGTTTTGCTCATATCTTCTAGGCTGTAGCTCCGAATTAAATGAACTTTATGTGTAACTTGACTAGAAAACCGTGTAGACCATCATGGTGCACTTTAACTTGATGTGTAACAACTTTAACATAATGTTTTATTCAGATTGGGACCAATTTCGAAATTTTCATATGAGGACATTGTTTCCGGCGTCATTTAAACTTGCTTTGATGTGTTGTTCTTGTATGCATCATCTCTTGCCATGAGTAGGATCATGTAGCCTTGTCATGCATCATACTTGGTTGAGCATCATGTCTTGTTCATGCTTGTGTGTTTACCATGTTGTTTGCTTCTTTCCGGTTGTACTTCTTCTCGATAGTCCCGGTTACGTTGAGATTGTGAGGATCCGTTCGACTATGTTGGTTTGTCTTCTTCATGGATTCGGTCTTCTTCCTAGAGGGGTCTCAGGCAAGATGACTGTTACCCTGGATACCACTATTATCTTTGCTTTGCTAGTTGTCTCCATGCTATCGCCATGTCGCGCTACCTACCACTTGTTTATCAGGCCTCCCAAATTGCCATGTTAGCCTCTAACCTTTTAATCGTTCGTAGCAAACCGTAGTTTTGCTATGTTACCGCTTTGCTCAGCCCCTCTTATAGCGTTGCTAGTTGCAGGTGCAGTTGCGGGTTGTTCCATATTGGGCCGGCTCAGTTGGCGCCCACTGTGGGGCTCACGCACGGTGGTGTTGAGTTCTTGAAGGGATCTCTCTTAGGGATCGAGAAGCTCGCGATTCATCAAATGAAGAAGAGCTGGAAAATTCATCGGTTTACTTCTGTCTGCATAAGACGCCTTCGGCGATCCGTCGAGTCCGATGGAAGATCCAATCTATGTGGGAGTATCTACTAAAGGAAACTAGAAGTCGTCCACTACAACGAGTCAAACAAACAAGCGGTCGGATCAACCACTGCAAGTTCGATCTAATCTACAGTGAAGACAAATTAGAGAGAAAAAACAAAGAAAAACCCACACGCCTATTGAATCGCCTCTCTGGTCTCATCCCGACGGCCGGCCAACCGTGGCCACGGCCTCTCCTTGCTTCTCGGCCACAACCTCCAACCTGCCTCGGCCGCCGCATTAGTGGCTGCTTCACGCCGATCCGAGTTATCACCGCCAGCCTGTCTCAGCCGCCTTGCCGTGGATTCACTCTGAGTCGCTGCAATCCGCTTTCAGCTTCCACTGCAAGTCGCCCTGGCCTCAAGCCGCCGCCATCGAGTCACCCCGGGCACGCTTCCGAAGCAGCCCTTACATGTCGCCTCAGGCAGCCACTGCTGCGAGTCGCCGAAGTCACTATGCCCGTGAGCCGCCGTGGCCGGCTTTGCCTCTGCCTCGTGGGTTTTGCTGTTACTGCTGGATTCCTTTGTCGAGCCGCCTTGGCCCTGAGCCGTTTTTCACCAAATCATCGGCAAATTGCACCCGACCTAGCACCCCTCCAACGTGGCTTTTGTGATCTGCCATCACCTCCGTGTGCTCACTGCCGCGTCCAACTGTTGCTGCAAGCTGCCCCCACTTGGCCTCGCTTTGAGCATCTCCGTAGCTATCAGATCAAGCAAATTCCTAGAGAGAAAACACCAACAAAAGATCTTACGTGGTCAGATAGAGATTCAAACCAACTACAACCAGGACAAAGACTTGGACGGGGGTTGGTTTCAGAAGCAGCCATTGTGGCCTCGTTCCGAGCCGCCTTTACACGGGCCTCGCGTTGAGCCGCCTTCATGTGGGCCTCGTGTTGAGTCGCCGGCCTCCACCAGCGTGCTTCTGCTGCTGAGCTGCCTCTGCCGGTCATCGCTCCGCCTTCTAACCGATGACCGTCGCGTCTTTCCGAGTGGCCTCCGCGTGAAGCCTGTGTCGAGCCGCCGGCAGCCGGCGCTGCTCCATCATTCAAGTTTTCAGGGACTCAGCCAACGATGAATATAGCAAAAGCTGGCAGAAGACACTAGTACAAGTAGTACTGAATGATCAAATAGTACAAGTATTCTATACTGCCTCACTTCAAAACATCTCCAAGTGGACTCACCGGGATTAATATTCCCTGCTGAAAGTAATACGGAACTCGCATCCCGCGTTGTGGTTGTCTGTCTGTATCACGCTGGCAGACAGACACGAACAGATCTGTTGTCTCTCTTGTTCGCTCTGTTTCAGCACATGGGAGTGCAAGCAAAAACAAGATTGATCTGCAACAAAAGTACTTGTGCAAAACCCGTCAATCAGACATCCAACGGATCATCGGCCTGCCTGCCGAGGCTACATTGAGTCACCGGTTTGCCTGAACCACCGGACTATATTGAGTCGCCGGTCTGCTTGAGCCACCTCTGTCGCGGTGAACGGATCATCCTCATCTGCACAAATCAGTTTATATGCATCTAAGTTGATTTTATTAGCACATATTGTTTTTGTCAAAGAACAATCATGTTGGCTTGTGATATTTATATGCAGGACAATGATTCATTATAAAGGTGGTGCTATGCTTTGCCTATGAAGTGTGTGTTGGCATCATCATGCACCGGTGTCCACACCCGCTTGCTGTTGAACGGGTGTGCGCAAGCCACCGCCCGTGCAGTTTGATCTACATCAACTGGCCGAGACCGCGCCCACGATTGACTCGACCGTCCGCGCCGGCTTACAACACCGCGGCCAGTTCATATATCCTCTCTCATGGCCAACTCGGCCGTGCTTGAGTTTATCTTCACCATGGTTATCATCAACTCCATAGTGGATAATCACTGGCCTAACATATCAGGTGAAATCCATCCAATATATTTTATATTATATATTATTTTCTTTAGAAGAGCAATTACTTTGGCTTGCAAGTTCTCCTATGCAGGACTCAAACCGGTCTATATGACAGTCAACTATGGGGAATCTCAAGCCAACTCATTGAGTCATCTTAAAGACTCGGGTGCTACATGGACATAGCTCAATAAATGTTGCCAGTTTAAAGGCCGTCCGGAAAAATTCCGGCTCAAGAAGAATTTATCTCTCGCAAAGTTCGAGTTCTCAGGAAAAATTAAAAGGGACCATAGAGAGTCTGTTGCAAATTACAACTCAAACATAGGTACCCTGATTCAAATGGTCACATGGGGGCTTCCTGTTCAAACATAGGTCGTATTCGAACCAAAGAGAACATAGCTGTCAGTACCCTCTTGATTGGCGCAATGCCAAAGCCACTGATGGCTACATGATCATATTCGAATCCTAGATTAACCCCTTTGGTCTGGTTTACTGATCGTATTCGAATCAGAAGCCTCAAATTCTTCTTTCTATTTTGCTTATGTTTTTTGAAAATAGTCTTTTGGGTTTGTCTTGAGACTTTTTGTTCATATATGAAGCATATATGTGGTTTCGATTAACCCGGCTTGACTTTGGATGATAAGTTGCCATATATGACAATCATAAACAATTCAAAGTTTTTGGCTTCTAAAGATTGGGTTATCACCCTTACTGCACAGGTATCCCACACAGGTAGTATGATTCAATATCACAGGAACCAGTTTTTTAAACCGGGTTATATTATTCAAATCTTTAATAGCCAACATGGCTGGATTTTTATTATGGTTATCAATAACCAATATAACGATTGAGGTCTTCAAAGTCGCTTCTGCGCAATGGATATTATTTTATCAATGGATGTAATTTATTCTACAATGGAAGGAATAGTCCCGAGTCACTGCAGGCTTACGAACCGACACTTGGGGGCTACATTATTTAAGTTGAGATCACATCAAACATGTAAGTCCCATGTCACTGCCAGCATGCACCATGACACTTGGGGGCTAATGCAAAGTCATTTTTGGAGTACCTTATTGAAGACCCGACTCATCACGGTGTAATGAGCCGGCCCTTGTGGGCTACCAATTGCTCCGGTAGAACGATTCAAGGTACACAAGCCTTAATCTGTTGTATTGAAAGATCCACTATTCAGTTCGTAGAGTACAAAGATCTTAACCTTGTGGACGTGGGTTCAAGCCCCATGGTGGAGATTACATCATATGATGTTATTATCAATGAATCATATACAAAGTCCCAGCTCAGTAATATCTTACTGAGCTGGCCCTTGGGGGCTACACATTGTTGTTCAAATCTACATGATCATATTTATAACGTCCCTGCTCATTATTGCATAATGACCTGGCCTTTGGCGGCTACACCATTTGATTTTTTATGAGCATCAGGCAATTACAAGTCCCAGGTTGCTGCAAGCATGACAACCCGGCACTTGGGGGCTACATATGTGGAATACTCAGTTTGGATTACTGACTACAATGAACAGCCTGGATTTTTTCTAGGTGGCAACATTTATATCGAAATAAGTCTTAAGCAATCACTATATTCTCATCTTAAGACTTGGGGGCTATAGGTAATATGCATATAAAGGAGGAACATCTTCAAATTCTCCGTTTTGGGCAAATCAGGAAGATTAATTGTGTGACCTGACATTGGCAACAATCATGACCCGGTGTCTATAACAGTCATGACCCGGAGTCATCAGTTTTTATAACCCAATAATTTTGGAAATCATAACTCAGCAAGTTCTACAAGCCGGCTGAATATCAGTTGAATATTTCAGAACCAATATTTTTGTCAAGTCAAAGCATTGAAGGTCGAATCAAATAGATTATTTATTCATTCACAATATTTCTTCTACAAGCAAATTGATTATGAAGATGGTCTATTGACCCGGATTTTCTAGGAGGAAATGACAAGGACTTAAGGATGATCAGGTGCCAGCCTACAAGAATATTTAACCCGGAGTACAACCTGTCAAATTTGTTCTTGAGTTTATGTTGCAGATCAGTTTAACATGGATAAATCCAAATTAAATTGGTGGCTAATGTCAGGCATATACCCCACGGTGTAACCCGCCGGATGTATGACCCGGCTGGAGCATGGCGACTCACTGGTGACCCGCCTGGGGCTTGGCGATTCACAGATAACCCGCCCGATCTTGGCGACTCATTAGTAAAACAGCGGGCGGGTCACATGGACAACAAGGCACAAAGCCCATAAGGCCGGCTCACATTATGATGGGCCGGCTTAAGAGGAAAGGGGTGATGAATATTTCCTTTACAAGGAAGCAAGACTCGGACTTGTATTCAACTTGTAAGAGAAGATAGACTAGTCCTAGTCCTACTAGGACTCCACATGTAACCCGCCCCTCTAACTTATATAAGGAGGGGCAGGGCTCCTCAAGAGGGACAAGCAAGAAGAAACAATCTCTAGGGTTAGACACAAAGATCCGGCTTACCAGTGACTCCCTCATGATCATAATGAGACCTAGCCACAAACAACACGTAGGGCTATTACCGAATGATGTTTCCCAGGGCCCGAAGCTGTCTAAATCCTTGTCTTGTGTTGCGTCTCTCGATTCCGCTCAACCCCTCTCAAGCTACTACAAAGATGCGTTGGCCTCACGACTAAGTCCTCACACTAGGACATCTGCCGTGGCAATTCCACAACACCATGTATTATGCATAATCACTAAAGTTTCTATGCCTTCTGTTATGTGCCTCCAAAGTCAGCATCATAATGTTATTGTTTTTGCATTCCCAGATTTCCTCTAAGTCTGAGAATCAGCTTATATCATGTTTGCATCTTGCCTCGATGTCTACCATGAACCTGTTGCTCATATGGTTATGCCATGTTATGTGTTTTGAGCTCCATGATATGTACTAGCATGCCATGATTTTGATTGCCATGTCCTTGTGCTATAGCTTAATTACTTATTGCCTCCAACATGCCATCATATAAACTCTCCTCACATGTATGCCCTGTTTTTCACTAAGTCATAATCTGTGTTATTAAGTTGCTTCTTGCATTGATCATATTGGTTTAACACTGATGCCTATGAACTTGAACCTTAATGTTATTTGAAGCATGTTATCTCTACTTGAAGTGTATATCAAGTTTGTACCCATATATTATGTGTAGCATGTTGTTTCCTTGATTGCAAAGTGCTTACTTGCTGTTTTGGGCACTTTGTGTTTGAAACTTGTATTAAGTGTATGTGTTGAACCGTTGCTCCATTTTGAGCATGCTCTATATGAAACTTGCTTAGTTTTGCATGTAGTTTCATGATACCTTCTTGCATCCTTGTTTTGGAGTGTTTGTCATGTTGTTTTTCTTGCATTTGCATCAATGCCATATTTAACTTGTTTCACTCATATCTTCTAGGTCGTAGCTCCGAATTAAATGAACCTTATGTGTAACTTGACTAGAAAACCGTATAGATCATCATGGTGCACTTTAACTTGATGTTTAAGAACTTTAACATAATGTTTTGTTCAGAACTGGACCAATTTCAAAATTTGCATATCAGGACTTACCGGAAGTGCTATATGTTGTTTCCGACCTCATTTAAACTTTCTTTGATGTGTTGTTCTTGTATGCATCATTTCTTGCCATGAGTTGCATCATGCAGCCTTGTCATGCATCATACTTGGTTGAGCATCATGTCTTTTTCATGCTTGTGTGTTTACTATGTTGTTTGCTTCTTTCCGGTTGTACTTCTTCTCGATAGTTACGGTTACGTTGCGATTGTGAGGATCCCATCGACTACGTTGGTTCGTCTTCTTCATGGACTCGGTCTTCTTCCTAGCGGGATCTCATGCAAGATGAACGTTACCCTGGATACCACTACTATATTTGCTTTTCTAGTTGTCTCGATGCTATCGCTATGTCGCGCTATCTACCACTTGTTTATCAAGCCTCCCAAATTGCCATGTTAGCCTCTAACATTTTCACCCTTCCTAGCAAACCGTTGTTTGGCTATCTTACCGCTTTGCTCAG